ATCAAACATGGACTACCACACTCCCCCCACGTATTCCCTCAAAACATACCTCCACCCAACGTGGACTTCCTGGCAATTGACCTGCACCTCCCAAACAATCAAACCCTCACGATAATCTCTTACTACAGGCATCCAGCGAGCCCGCTTTCTATCGAACTACTAGAGTACTTCTCCACTCTAAACAAAGCAATTCTCATGGACGTCCTGAACTGTAGACACACACAATTAGGTGATCATTCCACAAACCCGGAAGGCGTCAGACTTACTGATATTCTTCTCGACCTTTCATTCATTAGAATCACCAACACTGATTACACGTTTTTGAGCGCAAATGAGGCATCTATCGTGGACCACATCATCGTTACTGGTAGCGTGATGCACAGGTTCGACGATCGGTGTCACATGGGCGACACAATAACGTCCGACCATGTTCCGATATTAGTTAATTCTGATCTCATGTCACCCAAAATCTCTCCACCCCCCAGACAAATAAGAGATTATCGTGATGCAAACTGGCCACACTTTAAACAATACATCACAAACAACATTCCTGAGTTAGGCGAAATCAATACTAACGAAAGTATTGATTGACGAAGTTAAATACATAATTTATAAGTTATATACTAGCGAATATTATTCAAAAACAATTATATGAGGGTATTTTTAAGAATTTAGCATGAGAATAAATGTAAAGTTTTCTTTTAATTATAAATATATTTAAGTGAGCCATCTGCATAGGCAACCAAATATACACTGTGTTATTTGACATTTGAATGGTTGCGGATGTGAAGTGGGGTTATTTATTAGTTTGGGATGTTTAATTTAAATATAATTACAGATGTAAAATGTATTAGTTTAAGATATTTAGTTTATATATAATAGTGTATTCTGATCTGAAAGGCTAAATGTCCATAGAATTCTCACTAGAATTTTCAGGAAAACGTCAATATACAAGCCAGTTAGCCCTATTTGCATAGTCGATTATTCCAGAACTTTCATATATGGATGAGATGAAGAGTTTCGAACATGGTTTATTGCTAGAACAATCTGTAACGATAAAATGATATAAATACGAGGTAATTTGGAGCAGGCAGGCATTAAGTTACAGTTACTAAGTCAGTTAGAGTCAATTATTGAGTTAGTAAGATGAAGTCAGTCAGTCAGTTACAATTGATTAAGTTAGAAGAATTCATGAAGTGATTAAGTTAAATTAAGTTAGAAAAAAGGATTAAGGGAAATTAAGTCAGTCAGTCAGTTACAATTAAGTCATTAGATTAGATTTATCAAGAAAGTTAGTTCAAGACAGTTATAATTAAATTAAATTAGAACAAAGGATTAACTTAGAAGAATTCATTAAGTCAGATACAGTTGGAGAGTAAATTAATTCAATATAAATAGTTCAATACAGAAGTATAGTATATTATATGGAAATTACAAGAATTTTAAATTATAATATCTATATGCAATTTCACAAATACAAGGATAACCGAGGCTGATTAAGAAGATATTTAGTGGTGATTATAACTTTGATTTTGGAAAACTTTAGTCATTCAGTGATATAAAGGTACCAAATTTTGTTAATATAATTTAATAATTGTAAGAATTTCAAATTTTAGATAGGTTGTTTTAAATAATTTATATTGTTTATATTAGATATATATGTCTGTTTCATAATAGTTATAATAAAGATAATTTAAAAAATTACTTACAAACTAATTCTTTGAGAACCGCGATAAAAACCCTATACGCATACATTTTAAACACTCATTGCTCATATACAAACAAAACATCATCACTATATATATATATATATATATATATATATATATATATATATATATATATATATATATATATATATATATGATTTTTTGTTTGTAAAACTAACGTGAATTGATTTAGACTCGTTTAGTTTGATTTTCCATTTTTTTTTTTGTCCACTTATGGATTTTATCTATTAACAATGATATTTTTCTGCTACTTCTTCACTGGTATCACCTACTGCTAGAATGGCAGTATCATCTGCATAGGTGGCTATAGCATCATTTTCTAGTTCAGGTACGTCGGATGTGTATAACAGGTAGAGGACCGGACCTAATACACTTCCTTGAGGGACTCCTACTTTAATTTCTTTTATAAATCTGTGTAAACATCTTCTTGTTTGATTCTGAAGTATCTATCAGATATGTATGACTGTAGAATGTCTAAATATTGTCTAGGCATAAAGGATTCCAGTTTATACAGTAATCCTTCATGCTATACTTTATCGAATGCCTTAGCTACATCTAAAAATATTGTAGAGCGGACTTTCTTTTCCTCTAACGATTTCTCAATTATGTTAGTAATTCTATGTACTTGATAAATAGTAGAATGTTTATTTCTGAAGATAAAATGGAGGTTTGGAATAAGTTTTTTCTCTTCTATTATAGGTTTAATTCTTTTTAGCAAGAGTTTCTCGAACAGCTTTGACATTACTGGTAAGAGTGATATTGACCTGTAAGAAGAGACTTATGTTGGTGATTTCCCTGGTTTTGGTATCATTATTACCTCAGCTATTTTCCATAAATTTGGGACATATCTTAATCTAAAAGAAGCATTAATTAGGTTGGTCAATTTTACTATGGTTTTGCGAGGCAGGTTTTTTAGTAATTCTTCAGTATATAGATTGTATAGTGGGGATTTCTTCGGATTTATGTTTTCTTTTATTTCATCAGCTACTTATTTTGGGGATGTTGATCTGATTGCCTCTTCTATCTGATTAGACTCTATCCATATTTGACCATTAATTTGGTCTTCATGTGGTTTGAATGTATTTTCTAAACATGTGGCAAATCTCTCTGCCTTTTGCTTATTGCTCCTGGCCCAACTACCGTCTTCCAGTTTAATGGGTGGAGAATGGATTACTGGTCTTTTTAGCCTTTTCGTTGCTTTCCATAGGGAGTATTCAGTGCGTCTATCCGTAAATTCTCTCAGGTAAGAATTCATTGATTCATTTTTTATACTTTGAATCTCTTTTAAGCTTTTGAGTTGCATTGTTCAAATTCATTTTATCTTGAGCAGCTCTGGTTTGCTGCCACCTCCTTCTTAGTTTTCTTTTCTCTTTGATTAACTTTTTAATTTCTTTCGGATAGTTGTTTACTTGTACTTTTGATACTTGAATCGGAGTGTTTTCCGATGCTGATTTTTGTATATTTCGGACAAACAACTCTACTTCCTCATCTAGTTGTTCAGATGTTTTTAACTGTACAGATAATTTAATTTTTTCTTCAAGGATTGATTTAAAACTTTCCAAGTCTGTTAATTTGTTGGTTAATATTGGATTACATTCCTTTCTAATAATCGTGTCACTCAATGTGAGCATTATGGGTGAATGGCCTGAGTTCATATCCCAACCATCATCAATATCTACATAATTGGCTGAGATATTTTTAATAATGAAAAAATCAATTTTTTCGGTATCCGGTAACCAAAAGTCCGGTATCTTGTTCCGATCACTTGGTCAATGCGTCGGTCTACCGGTTGATATTGGTTCACATTTCTGTTCTTTCATGGCTGCCAGCAACTCGTTTCCTTTTGGTGTTGTCAATCTTGATCCCCATTGAGTGTGCTATGCATTAAAGTTACCACCAATGATATAACTTTTTCCCATACACTTCAGATATTCTTCATATTGCTCTTTTTTAATGGAATGTTTAGGGGGGCAATAAATTGAACTTATAGTAATTTTTGAGCTTGACACATACTGCGGTTGCTTGTATGTGCTCAGTTTCATATTTTAGCTCCTCATAATGCTGAATATTATTTTTTATTATTATTGCGCTGCCTCCTTTTGCTGCATTGTCAGGATGTATAGTATGGTATATATTGTATCCTCTAAATTTTATGAAAGATTGTTTAGTGAAATGTGTTTCAGATATGAGACACAAGTCAACTTCTTCTATGTCTAGAACTGCTTGTAGCTGATTTTGATGTGGTAGCAAATTTTCGGTATAGCACCTTTAGCGCTATGTTCCAATCTGGTCAGTCTTACTTCTATTTGAGTTATTGTGCCCTCTATCTTAATGAGCTTTTCTAATATTATTTTCAATGTATTGTCGGTTTCTATTTTTTGATGCGACTATTTTGTATTGTTTACTACATCACTATACTTTTTATTTTCAGTGACAGCTTGCATGTTTGGTTTTTCTTTCACATTAACCCTTCGTGGGGGTTTTGGAGTACTTTCTTTATTTGTCCTCTGATTTCTCAACTTTTGTATTAAGCCATATATCATAGAAGGGTTTTAATATCAGCATAATTACCAAAAACTTCATCTTCATAAATAAAACCATAAATACGGGTGAAAAATGTAGATGAAAAATCACTTGCGACTTTCTTCATAACAGTAACGTTGCCAAAGCCATAGTAAAACAATTACATGGAGTAAATGGAAATCGATAGGTCGGAACACCGATCAGTAATATTATGAGATATACTCAAAATTAGAACAGAAAGATTAACTATTTATGATATGATATTATTTATTTGGTAAACTATATGGGATGGCAGATTAAAAATCACATAGAAAATGAGTATTCATAAAGAGAAATAGTCGAAAAAACGTGAAAATATTTGTATGAGGTAATAAAAGATAATAAAGAAAGTAAAGGTAGTAAAGAAAGAAAACTACTTGGGTAACAACCCAACGAAGTATTAGGAAAAATGCGAAGTTATTTTGTCCCTTATACTGACCATCATAAATATATAATATAAATATACAACTTTAGTTCACAGAAGTAAAGCTACTTAAAAACTAAAGAAAATAGAGCTATTTGTAAAAAACACGTTAATGAAAAACTTAAAATTATTTTAGATACAAGCATAATTGATCATATTGTTGAAATGCGATATTAACAACAGTTGAAGAATTTTGTGTGAACGCCTAGCTTTAATATACTTCTACAATACAACATTACACCTATCGCCCTTATATACAAGATTTAAAAGTAAAAAGTGCTTACCCTTCGATTTGAACAGTCTTTTGGTACGAGGTCAGATGCTACCGTACCGAAAATGGTAGG